ACAGCTGCACGAGTCGTGACTGTCACGTTAGCCTGATGGGACCAAACTCTCTTTGCGATTTTAAAACGTAAGATTTGAAGTCTACAGTAAGATTTAACTTCTACTGTTAATAAGATTTTGGTAGGCTACTATTAGATGGATAGCCTAAATGTCCTCATTCAGATGGACTACCTGTTTTTATTTTATTTTTTTAATGGTATATCAAAAAGTGTATATTTTTTAAATGTGATTGTTGGTACATTTTACCAGTTTTTACCATACTTTCAAAACAAAAATTAAAATAGGAAAAATATATAATATGAAAATAATTGAAGACAAAATGTGTTTTACTGAGAAAAACAAGATTTGGTTTTTAAAAAGCCTTTTTCCAAAAGGTACATCTGGAAAAAGGGGGGTCGTCTTATAATCAGGGTCGTCTTATATTCGGGCCAGTACGGTACTATCTTTGAAAATCCTTGAAATACATATTTTCAATAGGAATCCAGGAGTTTTATGTGGAGTTTCCCCACACAGATGTTGATCATTCACTATTATTAAGTTATTCTTAACTGAATAACTTTACATTTAAATTTACTCAAGATTAATATGTATATTGATTTTATACAGTGAAGGCTATGCATTTTTTTTAAACATCGATTACCTCATTCAATTTATGTAGCATTTCTTATTTCTCATAGACTTACCTGAAAAACTATCTTTGTTGTATTGTATTTATTTGTCATGTTGTAATTAGATTGTTTGTTTGTACTCTATTACTGCTTACTTGTGTTCATAAAATTTGGGAACTTTTTTAGTTACATTGTAGGTATGCACGTTATTAATCGACCAGTATCGGAATTGGCCGATAATAGCTTTAAATGTAAATATCGGCATCAGCCTGATGTGAAAAAATATGCCGATATGTCTTGCCGATAAGAGGAATACATTAACTCGCATGTGCTCAGGGTGTGCTAGCGATTAGATCACGTCAGCAGTGTGGCTCATTCTTGAAGCAAAGTTTTGCCTGAATGGTGATTGGATTCACTGTTTTGGATCGCTGCATTTAAACTGAGAAAGCACGTAAAGAATGACGCGTTCGGTGTGTGATAGAGTAAACAGTAATAGCACGTGCAGCGGCATCCTCCCCCGTGTCCTAAAGCCCGTTCTGAAAGGAGTTTTAATTCCGTAGGGGGCGCTGTTGGCCTACTTCTAATAAAAGGAAAGCAAAATACACAAATAATATGTAGACTGTGTTTCCTGATTAAATAAAGCAGTAATTGATGCCATAAAATCATGAGAATGTTTTGATTTAAAGGTCAGAAACTTACATGGGAAAAAAAAATCACAAACATGACACTTCAACTAAATAATTTTATATATGCGTTCATTAATGTGTAATATGTTATATTTTTTAAACAAATTATGAGCTCTAAAATATTTTACAACTCTTTTGCTTTAGACCATCTACAAATGTTAAATCTTAAAACAAAATATTAAGGTTACCACTGCATCTTTCTGAAAAAAAAATGCAGTGATTAATATATAGTTTATTTATAGTTATTTTCAAATCTTCAATGTACTGTCATTATAAAATAACTTTATTATTGTTTATTTAATTCTAACAAATAAGTTCTTGTTAAAAACTAACCAAAATTAAAAATAATTATATATCAGTATTGGCATCAGCTATCAGCCAAAATGAGTTGAAAATTATCGGCATATCGGATATCGGCAAAAATCCAATATCGTGCATCCCTAGTACATTGTCTAGGCTAGTATTAGTTTTTGCAGTAATATTGAAACTGGTGTGGAGAATTATTAACATTTCTATTAGGGATGCACCAAATTTTCGGCAACTGAAATTATTCGGCCGAAAATAGCAAAAAAAAACTCTTTTAGTGTTCGGCTGAATAAGCGAAAACACTGAATAAGTTGTACTGAACAATGACGTGACGCGATCAAATAGCAACCAGCGTAGAGTAGGGCTGGACAATAATTCGATATCAATATGTATCGCGATATAATTTTTTTCAATAACGGTGATATGATTTTTAAACACATTTCCGATATTTCGATATACATTACCAGTTGTATCACTCTAAAAGCGCCTCCTGCTGGCAGAGAATGAGTTTTCATTTTAAATAAGCCCCCGTAAATGGCACATCATACACGTGAGGTTATCTGACGGAGAGACGCAAAGCAGTTTAAAGCAGAGTCCTGCACGGGTTAGGTAAACCTGCATCCGCCGTACACAACAGAACACACGACCCGTTATCCGACAGCAGCCTGAACCGCACCCGCATTAAATAGGCTACTGCATCAGTAAGGCAAAATTATTCATTTTCTCATGTGACACAAGCAATCAAACCAAAATAGGCATTTTAAGTTGGTGCTTTGAAGAGAAATAGACAAGCAGCGCAACAGAAGAATGATAAGAACGCGCATCCTTCCTGTATACAATACAAACTTTTGCCTACATCTTGTGAACAATCTGCCAGGCTGTTTTGAACAAATGTGCATAAACTACATGCTTAAATCTTCATAAATGAAAAGAACATATTTAGATATGACTTTACTGTTAAGTGCCATTGTCTCTCCTTAAACTCTGCAGTGTATAGGCTATGTGGCCGTTAGTCCTTTACAGAAGCATTAAAAACAAATCTTAAAAATAAAATGATATAAGCTACAGAAAGTGAGCAACGAGTGCTACCAAGCTGCCATTCACTTCAGCGCCAATGGCTAGAATGCGTGATCAAAAGTTATGATAAAGGCATTTATGTTACAAAAGATTTCGAATTCAGATAAATAGTGTTCATATCGATATCGGAATTATATCGTATCGACCGAAATGAAGAAATATATCGTGATATCAATTTTGGCCATATCGTCCAGCCCTAGCGTAGAGTGAGAGGCGCGCACTCTTTATAATGCAGCACACATGTCAGCAGTGTGGAAGCATTTAAACTGTCCGAGAAAGACGTAAAAATCATTACAAGCACCGACAGCGAGAGACTGTTTAGCACTGCATCGCATGTCTTCGATGAGAAGAGGAGGGTGGTTGTTGCTGGTTACTGTATGATGATTGAAATCGCAAAATGGCCTTAATTAAACAACTAAATAAACTGCAGACCGTTATGTTTTCTAATACATGCACAAATTGCATGTATTCAAACAGCGCTGCACGAACTCGTTAGCCAGGGTTCAAAGTCCAAAGCGTGAGGAAAATCTGCACTGACACAGTGTTACTCGTCAGTTGCTCAGTCACATTTTTATGAATTTTTACAAGCCATGTAACAGTGTGATACGTGCAACATATATATTTATAAATCTGCTGTTGTCAACAAAAAGTCAACTGCAGGTTTCCGCCAAAATAAAAGCTCCATCAACATTCATAAATGTTAGTGTTGTAATTGTACTGTTGTTCTGTAAAATAAAATAGAAAAGTAAGACAATGATAACGATAATACTTACAGCAGCTCTATGAATACATTTATTATAACATTCACACATGGAGATCTGTAATGTTTTCTGTTTTAAAAGAAGTCTCTCCTGCTCAGCAAGGCTGCATTTATTTGAACAATAAAACAAATAAAAAATGCATGCTTTATTCAAGAATAGGGTCTCAAAAATGGCCAGAAACTTTTATTTTACGAACTTATTAATTTTAAGTTAAATCGTGCTTTATTGGTATAATGTCTGCTAGAATGTTAAAAAAAAAATGTTCAGTGTTAAATATTTGTAAATTGTTGTTTTGTAATTGATTTTTTCTTTGAAAAGCAAGACAAATGAGTAAAAAGCACATTTGGGTTGTTTAATTTATGCATTGGTGAAAAAAAGGGGCAAAATACATGGGGAAAACCATGTTTGGGATTCGGCCTTTGGCCCAGGGTTTTTTTTCTTTTGGTTTCAGCTTCGGCCAAGAATTTTTATTTTGGTGCATTCCTAGTTTAAATAGGGATTTTTACTCATACTGTGATATTATTATAAAATATATTTTTATAATATGTATAATTTAAGTTATCATCGAGCAATTGGTTTGAAGTCCTGTGATAAACCACAGCAGGGTTTGAGCATTCAGCCTTTTAGGCACCAGGTCCAATATTTGTCCAATAGGCTTAAAGAAGGGTGCATAATCCCAGAATGCTGTGGCAATTTCTTAGAAACTGAACCTGTTTAATAAAGCCACTAGTAGTCTGTTTTTGTTTATAGTGTGTAAGCAGAGCTTTTCAGCTGTATAAAGTGGCTTGTCCAGTGTATTCGATAGTCACATGCATTCAAGATTGTGTGAACTGACACATACTACACACACCTCCCATAACTGCATGTCTGTGTGTTGTCTGTGAATGTGCGCTGTGGTCCGCAGGGGTCAGGAGATCGACTGTCCTTCAGACAGAAGGTGGACCTGCTGTCCCAGAATGCTACACCTATAGACCAGCTGTTTGAGGTGAGCACCACTATAAAGCCTCTTTGTGTAACCAGTTTCAACTTTACTGCCCACTTCCCGTGAACACCACAGGAAGAAATATGATATTTAGTACTCATAGTAAGAGCTTTCCTACGAAACCAAAGACTTTCTCATAATTGATCACTGAGCCATCATTGCCTTATTTGAGCCTTATTTTTGACTGGCGCAAGAGCAGGACGTAAAACCTTATACTAGTTTATACTAGTGTATGTATGTATGCATGTATCTTATACCTGCATGTCTGTGTGTTGTCTGTGAATGTGCGCTGTGGTCCGCAGGGGTCAGGAGATCGACTGTCCTTCAGACAGAAGGTGGACCTGCTGTCCCAGAATGCTACACCTATAGACCAGCTGTTTGAGGTGAGCACCGCTATAAAGCCTCTTTGTGTAACCAGTTTCAACTTTACTGCCCACTTCCCGTGAACACCACAGGAAGAAATATTATATTTAGTACTCGTAGTAAGAGCTTTCCTGCGAAACCAAAGACTGTTTCTCATAATTGATCACTGAGACATCATTGCCTTATTTGAGCCTTATTTTTGACTGGCGCAAGAGCAGGACGTAAAACCTTATACTAGTTTATACTAGTGTGTGTATGTATGTATGTATCTTATATAATGTTGAATAAGATGAATTGATACTAAGTATGTGTATGTATATGGGCAGCACATTGTGAGTGGAAATGAGGCTGAGGTGAAGCGTTTGCTGAGCGAGAGTGAGAATGAGGAGGACGGGAGGAAGTTATGTCACCCACTCTGTTCCTGTGACACCTGTGACCGCCACATCTCAGGGTCAGTGCTGACGAACATCATACATATCATCCACTCAATAAATGCAGAGGAGCTTTTGAACTGATCTGGGTCCCACTTTATATTAGGTGTCTATTAGGTATCTTTGAATACTGTGTACTTAATAATAAAATAATGAATTGTTAGGTAGAATGTACCTATTGTGTTCACGTTAAATTGCAAAACACTTTTGCTGTTTTCGAGGAGGGATATGGTTAAGGTTAGGGACAGGTTTGGTGGTTTAGCTAGGTTTAAGGGGTTGAGGTTGGGTCAACAGTATAATTAGAGATTTAACTGCAAAAAAATCATTACAGATGTAATTACAGGATGCTATTTTCAAATGTAAAAACACGTATATGCATTGTAAGTGCATTGTATCAAATAATCAATTTAAATGTGAGTACATAGTAGTAAAGGACACTTAATTTAAAATGAAATGATGCATTAATTTCTTTTAGACAGCACTTACCTGTTCTACAGTTTATTAAATAAATAAAAGACTTGAAATTGTATTAAATAACAATTTATTTATTTGTACACTACAGGCTTTATCACAACTGTATGCCTCTTCAGCTTTGCTATCAGATTCAGTTTGATGCTTATATTAATAGTAATATTAATGGTGTGTTGGTGCATTGATAACCACCACAGGCTGAACATATTAGAAAGCATGCAATTTGAATCGAGGTTATTTTCGTAAACGAAAACTAAGACGAAAACGATTGGTCAAAAAACATTTTCGTAAACTGAAATAAAATGTAAAAATCCAAATAAATGAAAAAACTAAAACGAAACGAAACTAACAACAGTTATTGCAAAACTAACTGAAATAAAATAATAATGATCAAAAATAAATCATCGTTTTCGTAATCATTACGTTCTCACCCCGTGGCGGAAAAATATATGAGCTGTGTGTCGGTTTAGGGAAATACCGGGAAATACACGTAAATGGCACATCATACACTTGAGGTTATCTGACGGAGAGACGCAAAGCAGTTTAAAGCAGAGTCCTGCACGGGTCCTGTTAGGTAAACCTGCATCCGCAGTAGCTACACAACAGAACACCCGACCCATTCGTTATCCGACAGCAGCCAGCACCAATTTAGTTCTGTACCCGACATAATGACCTGAACCGCACCCGCATTAAATAGGCTACTGCATCAGTAAGGTAAAATTATTTATTTTCTCATGTGATACAAGCAATCAAACCAAAATAGGCATTTTAAGTTGGTGCTTTGAAGAAAAATAGACAAGCAGCGCAACAGAAGAATGATAAGAACACGCATCCTTCCTGTATACAATACAAACTTTTGCCTACATCTTGTGAACAATCTGCCAGGCTGTTTTGAACAAATGTGCATAAACATACTTAAATCTTCATAAATGAAAAGAACATATTTAGATATGACTTTACTGTTAAGTGCCATTGTCTCTCCTTAAACTCTGCAGTGTATAGGCTATGCGGCCGTTAGTCCTTTACAGAAGCATTAAAAATAAATCTTAAAAATAAAATGATATAGGCTGCAGAAAGCGAGCAACGAGTGCTACCAAGCTGTCATTCACTTCAGCTGCAGCGCCAATGGCTAATAATGAGA